CCTCCGGGAACGGGTGCGATTGCGAACTTCAACGGAGGTGAGATCGCAATCGGCAAGACGCATCATCGAGCCCTCCTCCTCATCACAGCCTGCGCTCCCATCGTATTGGTAAGCCCCCCCCCTCCTTCTCTTGACTCATCTGACCCGTAATAGCGGTCGGGCCCGTTGTGTCTCGTAACGCACAATGATCAGCGCAACCATGTGTTTCATCACGGCAGGCTCCTCATCATGCCTGCATCTTCGTAAACAGGCGTCGGCTTGATCAGGTAAGTGCGTCCTATATCCATCAATAATAGTAGCCAAATCTGCTTGATCAAAGCTCTCCCTCTCCCGCACAGTCCATTCCTTTACTAACTTCTAATTTGTTAGTCTAACATAGAAACTAACGTTGCCACTGTACTCGCCCGGCCCAAAACGCTAGTTTATCACCTTCACTTACCCGATTTCGTCCACTAACAGGTGGAGATGACTGTTTTCCATATTTCCTCCATTCACTCGTTGACACCTCCACGCACCGTTTCCCTTACTAACTTTTCACTCACTAACTTCCTGTTAAATCTAACTTTATGATCGGATTCGCCCGATATCAGAACTCCTAAGCCGCATGTTCCCCTGCCTAAAACCATCGGGAAGCGAGAAAGTTACTCATTTTTTTCCTTCCGCCATATCCTCCCTCCGCCATAACTCGACGCACCGTTTTCTCTACTAACTTCAAACCGACTGGCTCCCTGTCAAAACTAACTGCAGAATCGCATTCGCCCATGCCCAAAACCCCTAAATCAAGACCTTCCTCGCTCGATTTCATCCGGCATCGAGCGAGGTAGGCACTTCTCACTCTTCACCTCCTTCACTTCCGCCATCGTTCAGCGCAGCACCATTCTCAACTAACTCCAGCTCTAATCAACTAACCCCAAAACTAACTATACCATCTGTTTCGCCCGGGGCAAAAACCCCGGGATTGCATCTTTCCCCACCTGTTTTGTCAAGAAACGGGGGAGTTACTTCCTTTTTCGCTGGCCACTCCGCCATAGCCCGATACCTCCGCGCACTGCTGTCTCCCCTAACCTTCTAATTTACTAACTTTCTCATTAATCTAACTCCATATTCAGGATCGCCAGGCTCAAAGATTCCTATTTCGTGTCTCTCCTCACTCATTTTTATGGAAAAACGAGTGAGGTCTCTGTTTTTCTATCTTCCTCCTCCCTTGCCCCGCCATCTCCCCGTGCGAATGCACCCGGCTCGATTACCGACCGGGTTCGTTCTTCCCTCTCAGAGTTTCTCCGACTGTTCGTGGCACAGTCTGTCGCCCAGATTCAGCCTGGCCTCCCTCCCTGCGCCCGTCGGGTTCACTGCTCCGTCACTCTTCCCCATACCGGAGGTACCCGGCGTGCTACCCCGCCCGGGTTCATCCACCCCTCCGTCCCTCCTGCCTGTCTGTTGCCATCAGCGCCTCTCCCGATCGTGCCGCAAACGCCCGACGGCCCTGTCCGCTACGGATGGGGGCAAAGGCAAATCGGTCAATGACCGAGTTCGCATAGTGCAACGCCCTTATACCGAATCCGACGGATGACCCGCCCGTCGGCCGCCCCTTGCTTTTCTCGGCGTCCATTCCCACCCACTGCGCCCAATCACACGGCCGTGCGGCCCACTGTCGCGGCAATATTAACCGAAGCCTTCGGCACTGCCCAGGTAAGCACCCCCTTCCTTCTTCCGCCTGCACTCTGCACGTCTTCCCGTCCCGGTTCAGCCCCTTTGCCCAGTTACTCCGCTCATCCCCCACGCCACTCACTACCGGTCTGCTTATACCTCCTCACGGCGGCCTCCCTTACTACCTCAGCTAACCTTGAGGGAACACCCCCGGCCAGCCCAGCTGCAGGGCAATTCCGGTTAGTCTTCCGCCCCTATGCCCCAGTCCGTCGGGCGGATTGTTCGACAGCTGTTGGCACGCACCTCTACAAGGAGCCCAGCCCCCTTGTCGGCCCCCACTCAAACATCACTGGTCACCCTTTCGGGTCCCCAATGGGCAAACCGCACACCAACAGCGGCCACAGAGCCAAGGGCCCGGGCCTGCTGCTTATCTAGCTGCGGCCCTCGCCGTGCCGGGTCCGACGCGGGTCCTTGTGGTGGCAGCAAATGTCCGAGCGAGAACTTCAATGACCGTCATGGAGGAAAGTTTCACAGGTGTGCAGCCGTTGTAGTGGCCTTCCCCACAATGCCCCGCGCCTCTTTCGAGTCCCAACGGGCATGCACACACTCAAATCTCCTCCCCTGCAGGTCCTGGCCGGCGGACAATGCGCCCGCGGCACCCCCTGCACGTCGGACTCTCGGCGTGTATTCTCAAAACGGCGGGATGGATAAGTTTTGTTAGCATCCCGAACACACAGAAACCCATGAATAACAAGCCGGGCTCCCGCAACAGGCCTTCACGGCGAGCACGCCCATCAGTGAAACATAATCTTTTCAATCCTCATTTAGTCAGAAGGACATAATTTGGCCGGCGGTCACGCCGACCCTTCAATCATCAACAAAAAAAAAGATCACGCGCGCCTCAAAAATCCGCGCGCCCACACATACTCAATTCTAGCCAACCATCCCGTCAACGTAGGTCACAGACACAGCCGCGGCAAGCGCGGTATACTCAGCCTTTAAACCAAACCTATTTCTTGTCGCTTGCAAAAAAAACAAACAGGGCGGATACCCTTGTAAGGGTATTCGCGCCGACAGCGATATATGATACGAAAATACTCATCGTCTCAGGATATTCGGATTTCATATGCGAATAGACTCGCATTTATCACATCATGCCTTCTGCAATGGATCCAGCCCTATCACACTGGGTACATCGTATCGGGCTTGGATGAGCTTCTATGGGGGACTTGCGTAGGCAGGTGAATATCGTGTCGGGCTTGGATGAGCTTTTGTCTAATGTAAAACTTCGTCAAGAATAAGCGTTTGTGAAGGTCTTCGGCTTGAAGCAGCGTTTGTGTACGACTTCGGTTGAACTTGTGTTCAACATGTTCGTATTTGAGGCAGGGCTTGTTTCTAGTGTAATGTCAGACTTTTCGGCTTGTGTTGGACTTCTGTTGAGGTTGTGTTCGATATATTCGTTTTTGAGGTAGGGGTTGTGTTTTTGTGGCTTTGGCGACGAGGGCGTGTCATGTAGACTGTAGGGAAGCGTCTTGTGTAGATGACGGCATGTCATGCAACACTGTACGACGTCGGTGTACAGCTTGATTTTTCCAAAAGATATCCACATTCACGTGTTGTGTAGACGAGAGTGTAGGTCATTCGCCTTTTCCTCTCGGCTCCATGTACTTTACGACCTGGGCTTGAATGATTTTTAGAAACCCTACATGTACCTTAGAACATGTTCTTCAATGATTTTTGGAAAGGCTCCATGTACTTTGTGATTTTTTGAAAGCCTCTGTGTATTTTCCAATGTGGGATTGAATGATTTTTTGCATTGAATGATTTTTGGAAATGCCTCTGTGTACTTTGCAATTTGCGATTGAATGATTTTTTGCATTGAATGGTTTTTGGAAGCTCTCTGTGTGGTGTACAACTTGACCTTTAGAAAACACTAGGCAACTTGCAGGTGTTTCCATGTCGATGTTTGCGATGACAAGAGTTAATTATATGAATGGATGTTATGTATCTTGTCCACGCAGAGATTTGATGACCTTTTGCACCCGGGAATATACAAATGACGAGCCAACGTTCATATTAAATCACCACGCTGATGGTGTGGGCACCTAGGTCTCCATCTAAGTGCGAGTTCACTTGCACTTGTGGTGTGAACCCTGAGCAATCCACTAAAGTGAGAGTCCATCTAACTGCGATGACAAGATTGAATGTTACGAATCTATCTTATGTATTTGTCCATGGAAAGATGTGATGACATTTTCACCCGGGAATACACAAATGACAACCCAGCGTCCATATTAAATCACCACGCTGATGGTATGCACACCCAACTCTCCATCTAAGTGCGAGTTCACTCGGACTTGTGGTGTGAACCCCGAGTAATTCACTTAAGTGAGAGTTCACTCGCACTTTGTTTGTATCCCATTCAGCAGAAACGACCACCAACCTAGCCCCAGTTGCGATTGAGCAACAAAGACTGCCCAACAACTGATAACCTGCGGGACCTGGAGTTCAATTGTGTTTCTGGAGTCCGAAACTTTACTCGAAACAGATCCAGATCCAACAGGAAGGGCCACCACAGACCCCGAACAATTTGTTTTCTCAATGACTCCAAACAATTTGACTTAAAAGATTGCATTGTTTTCTGGCGGAAACGTTCTTGCAATTTTCGTTCGCGTTATGCAGAAACCTTCGATGAGGACCTTGTGAATATACAGAACGGGATGTGACGACTGAGTGTTGGCCTCACTAGGGTAGTTATTATTTGCCAACTTTATTTACGAGTGTCTACATGTCTGTATGTATCGTGTATGAGTGTGTGATGTGTAGATTGCATAATATCGTCGAGAACGTCGACAAGCATCAGCATGAATCCCGAGACGCACATGTGCTTAACAAAACCGTTTCCTCTTTGTGTGAAATCGGTGAGGCATTGTACCGGCCATACATGGATCTATGAAGCAACCAGAGACGACTTCGAAGAGGACTCATGGATGACCGTCGTCCCGTACATGAACCAACATCTTGACGAATGAAATAATAGCAATTGGAACGCGATGGAGTGTGTCTGCCCCTTGCGCAAGCCATTAAAAGTTCGTCAGTATGTTAGAGTTCAGGAACCTCATTACACTGTCTAATGGTGTCCTCGAGCCCACGTTCCTGACTCGTATGAGTAAATCACTCCGCTCCCTTAGCCGCTTGAGCAGTCGCTCAGGGAAATCTTTATGCGTTTAACCTTTGAAAGCGATGTTGCGCCGGACGGGAAAATCTTTATGCATTTAACCTTTGACAATGACGGACAAATTGTGGTCGCCTCGGATAACGGGTCGAGCTTCTGGTACCTGTACTCGCTGCAGAAAGAGGTTGAGGTTGAGGTAGATCCCGACGGCGACGAGGAGGATGATAAGGAGCCTGGGGACGTTGTTGCTCCAACGAAGATGATTGACGCTTGGAACACCCTTTGTGTCATCCAACGATGGTCAGCCCAAGACAGGAGTCTCGTAATGCTCTGTGCATGGTTTTGCCTTGGAAAACCGGAATTGCAGACCTCAGTTATTGTTGATTACTATGGTCGAATTCGGGTGTTGAATCACAACACTACCGTTACTACGCTTTTTACGGTCATCAAGGTCGATGGTCGAAAAATGAAAGCTCATTTTGTTGTAAGGGAGGAGTACCGAGGTGTCACCCTAAGTCGCGAGGAAGCGTTTCACAGCCCGACACTTGTCGGTGCTCTAGGGCGATTCAGAACTCGGCTATCCGTAGATGCGGCTCTAAGGAAGGAGCTCAAGTTAAGGGTTGACTGTTTAGTACACAGTAAGTTGCACTACCTTTTTGATAATTGAGATGACATATCATCGACAGTTGAATACAGGGATCACAACATGGAGGTTGTTTTCCACACAGATCACTACCACCGGTCGGGTACCAGGAAGGTGAAACTGCTCCCCTGTAACTTTGAAGACGGGCATCCCTTGTAGGTGTTTCCATTGTTCCTTTGAGTGGGTGTGTCCTTGCACAATTGGGAGTGGTAGTATGCTCGCCGACAGCGTGATATCGACGCTTGTCGACGGCCTGCGGCGTGATGTGTACGACTGTCCGTACTGTCGCAATGGACATCCTGAATATCTGGAAGGAAATGGTCCTTCATAGAAGAGTAGTTTGACCGTTCCAATTGATGCACGTGCTGAAAATGAGTCGAGATTAAACGGCGGTTGCAGGACTTGCGCTCTCTTGCGAAGTGCGAATCTATTCTCACTTATCGAACCACATGAATGACGTATGGAAAATAAGTCGAAATTCAACCGCAGTTATAAAATTTGCGCTCTCTTGCGAAGTACGAATCTATTCCTAGTTATCGAACCCTTGCGTGCATCCGATAAGATCGTGTATTTGTTTTTTATGCACTTGGTTCTTTTTTATCCACCGGGGAGAATCGCAACTGACGCGCTTCCTTGCGTTTCTCCGCTGATGCAGAATGGATGTCGATACTTCATCGCAGAGTTGGAACTCCTCAGCGTCAAACATCGATCTGATCATTTTGTCAAAGAATATTTGGGAGGACATTGGGCGTTCTGGTGTGGACCATGACTACCTGCACCTCGAAAATGATGTTGCCCCCAACGGGGAAATCCCTTTGTGGCAAGGTGCGGAAGAAAGACCCCTTCGGATTTTCCGTGATAAAGGGTCGAACTTTTGGTACCTGTACACTTTGATGAAGGATGTACAGGCATGCCCTATCGGGTTGGAATCACTTCTGGAGAGGGAACCCATCGAAGAGGAACCCGTCCGAACTTCTGAGATGGTGGAAGCATGGCACATTCTATGTGAAAAACTAAAATGGGCGTCATCGGACAAGTTGTATCAAAAACTTTGTGCCTGGTTTTGCCTCGGGAAACCGACGACGTCGACGCCGGTAATTATAGACTACTTCGGTTGAGTGAGGGTGTGTAATCGTGGCACCGCCGTCGTAACGCTCTTCACTGCTGTGAAGGTGGACGGTCGAAGAATAAGAGTTATTTTCTTCGCAAGGGAGGAATTTCATGGTGTGAAACTCACTTCATTTCAAGCGCTTCACACATTTGGGCTTACTGGTTCCCTTGCCCAGTTCAAAAATAGGCCAGCCATAGATCCTGCACTCAAGGAAGAGCTAGATTTGAGAGTTGACTGCTTGGTGCACCAGCAACTCCACTACCTCTTTGATCGCTGTGACAAAATAAATTTCACAGTTGAAGATAGGGACAACGAATTGCAATTTGTTCACCGTCGTATGCATTATTCAGCCTCCGGACCTTAGGATGTGACACTGCGCAACGGGAAGACGAAATATGTGTGCGACTGCCCTTACTGCGATGCTGGACATCTACATCCTTACTACCGGCGTTAAACTTAGACTATGCTTACATCCGATTGATTTTTATTGAATACGAACGACAGTTGTTGCCCCAACTGAGAACGTTTATGGTTAAAAGTGGTTTCGCAACATTGGGCTTCCCAGATAGCGCTACCTTCCGGTCCCTGAAGATGATGACAGTCCGTCGTTCTACGAACAGAAGGTGATGACAGCCCACCGTTCTGGGGAAACCGTTATCCATTCCAAATTTGTAACTCGAACAATTTGAATGAAATTTTAAGAGATAGACTAGAGCGCGACTTGCCGAATAACAAAGCAGATCTCTAGACTCGATTTGCCGAACCAAGTCCTTTTAGTCGAGTTCGATATAGCCGAGCTCAACGACGAGAATCGCGGGAGGCAACTCGAAGACTGCACATACTGCTACCATGGAGATCATAGTAACTATTGTCACACGACATATGATACGAAAATACTCATCGTCTCAGGATATTCGGATTCCATATGCGAATAGACTCGCATTTATCACCTCATGCCTTCGACAATGGGTCCGGCCCTATCACGCTGGAGACATCGTATCGGGCTTGGATGAGCTTCTGTGTGGGACTTGTGTAGGCAGGTGAATATCGTGTCGGACTTGGATGAACTTTTCTCTAATGTAAAACTTTGGCAGAAATAAGCGTTTGTCTAGGTCTTCGGCTTGAAGCAGCGTTTGTGTACGATTTCGGTTGAACTTGTGTTCGCCATATTCGTATTTGAGGCATGGCTTGTTTGTAGTGTAATGTCGGACTTTTCGGCTTGTGTTGGACTTCGGTTGAGGTTGTATTCGACATATTCGTTTTTGAGGTAGGGGTTGTGTTTTCGTGGCTTTGACGACGAGGGCGTGTTATGTAGACTGTAGGGAAGCGTCTTGTGTAGATGAGGGCGTGTCATATAAGACTGTACGGCGTCGGTGTACAGCTTGATTTTTCCAGAAGATATCCACATTCACGTGTTGTGTAGACGAGGGCGTAGGTCATTCGTCTTCTCCTCTCGGTTCCATGTACTTTACGACCTGGGTTTGAATGATTTTTAGAAACCCTACATGTACCTTAGAATGTGTTCTTCAATGATTTTTGGAAAGTCTCCATATACTTTGTGATTTTTGGAAAGCCTCTGTGTACTTTCCAATGTAGGATTCAATGATTTTTTGCATTGAACGATTTTTGGAAACGCCTCTGTGTACTTTGCAATTTGCGATTGAATGATTTTTTGCATTGAATAATTTTTGGAAGCTCTCCGTGTGGTGTACAACTTGACCTTTGGCAAACACTAGGCAACTTGCAGGTCTTTCCATGTCGATGTTTGCGATGAAAAGAGTTAATTATATGAATGGATGTTATGTATGTTGTCCATGCATAGATTTGATAACCTTTTGCACCCGCGAATATACAAATGACGAGCCAACGTCCATATTAAATCACCACGCTGATGGTGTGGGCACCTAGGTCTCCATCTAAGTGCGAGTTCACTCGCACTTGTGGGGTGAATCCCGAGCAATCCACTAAAGTGAGAGTCCATCTAACTGCAATGACAAGACTGAATGTTACGAATCTATATTATGTATTTATCCATGCAAAGATGTGATGACATTTTCATTCGGGAATAGACAAATGACAACCCAGTGTCCATATTAAATCACCACGTTGATGGTATGCACACCTAGCTCTCCATCTAAGTGCGAGTTCACTCGCACTTGTGGTGTGAACCCCGAGTAATCCACTTAAGTGAGACTTTACTCGCACTTTGTTTGTATCACATTAAGCAGAAACAACCACCAACCTAGCCCCAGTTGTGATTGAGCAACAAAGACTACCCAACAACTGATAACCTACGGGACTTGGAGTTCAATTGTGTTTTTGGAGTCCGAAACTCTACTCGAAACAGATCCAGGTCCGACAGGAAGGGCCACCACAGACCTCGAACAAGTTGTTTTCGCAATGACTCCAAGCAATTTGACTTAAAAGATTTTATTTTTTTCAGGCGGAAACGTTCTTGTGATTTTCATTCGCGTTATGTAGAAACCTTTGATGAGGACCTTGTGAATGTACAGAACGGGATGTGACGACTGAGTGTTGGCCTCACCAGGGGAGTTATTATTTGCCAACTTTATTTACGAGTGTCTACATGTCTGTATGTATCGTGTATGAGTGTGTGATGTGTAGATTGCATAATATCGTCGAGAACGTCGACAAGCATCANACTTTATTTACGAGTGTCTACATGTCTGTATGTATCGTGTATGAGTGTGTGATGTGTAGATTGCATAATATCGTCGAGAACGTCGACAAGCATCAACATGAGTCTCGAGACGTACCTGCGCTTAACCAAACCGTTCCCTCTTTGTGCGAAATCGGTGCGGCATTGTACCGGTTATATGTGGATCCACGAATCAACCAGAGACGACTTCGAAGAGGACTCATGGATGACCGTTGTCCCCTACATGAACCAATATCTTGACGAATGGAATAATAGCAATTGGAACGCGATGGAGTGTATTTGCCCTTGGGCAAACCATTAAAAGTTCGTCAATATGTTAGAGTTCGGGAACCTTATTACACTGCATGATGGTGTCCTCAAGCCCAGTTCCTGACCCGTATGTGTAAATCACTCCGCTCCCTTAGCCGCTTGAGCAGTCGCCTCGACTGCGAGTACATCACGTCTTCGCCACAAACTTGGGAAAGTTCGCAGAAGCAAGAGTTGGTGGACTGCGCTCCTCATTGTTCATTCTTGGAGCAGTACGGACCCTGTTGCCCATGGATTTCTCCACAAGCTGTGTCATTCTGTTGTGTCCAGTTGACTACTAAGGGATGTGCTTTCGCCAGAGTGTTATGTGTGGCTTTTTCAAACGAAAGTAGGAAACTCGTGGATGCAGCTGTACGTGTATCACGGAACGAGTTGGTACTTCAGGGGTCCAAGTTCGTGGCGTTGCAGTATAGCCGCGGTGTAGATGGGCGGATAGATGTGGTGAGAGTAAGTCTGGTCAAAGATTTTTCATTATGGCGTGAGGTGGAAGAGAAAGTATCCGCCATACGAGACTGTATCGAAAATTCCTTAGCACGACCAAGAGGGTTTGTTAGGATGAA